GCCTTACACGATGGTATAGCAGGGGGGCACAGAGGGGTTAGTGCCACGTGCGCAAAGATAAGTGAGTTATACCATTGGGATGGGATGCTGACTATGGTCATCAAGTACTGCCAGTCCTGTGTACCTTGCCAACAGAGGTCAGCGCAAAGGCCTGAGGAGCCTCTGCACCCTAGGCTGGAAAGGGAAGTGGGTGCAGTCGTACACCTGGACTTGGTGTTCATGTCACTCGGGGAAGATGGAAGTAACTATATCTTCGATGCACGGGACAACCTTACCGGGTTCGTGGACGGTCGGGCTATTCGCACAAAGATTGACCCAGTTTTAGCAAGGTGCATCGAAGAGTACTATCTACGCTATCCATTTGTGAGAGAATTTGTGATGGACCGGGGGAAAGAATTCACTTGTAACGAGGTGCGGACCTTGCTTGCGGGGTACGGCGTGGTGGCAAATTATACTACTGCCGCGCACCCCCAGGCAAACGCTCCCGTGGAGAGGGGACATAGCACCATCACGAATCTTCTGGCCAAGTGGACTGAGGGAAGGCCTAACCAGTGGCCGAAGTTCCTGAGGGCAGCATTCTTCGTGGAAAATGTTATAGTGAAAAGGACTACCAAGTATGCGCCAGCCACTATATGGTACAAAAGGCATGCCACCTTTCCCATAGAAAGCTTCATGAAGACGTGGAGGCGCCAGGACCTGGAAGTGAACCTGTTTTTTGAAGAACTGCTCGATTTACGAGCGCGACAGGTGGGAGCCGTTGAGGAAAGGTTACGAGAGGCCGCTGGCCAGGTATAGAGAAGCCGTATGGAAGACAAGATGAGGTGGGACCAGATGGCCCGAATAAGGAAGGATCCGCTGAAGGTTGTAGATGCGGTACTGCTGTACGACTCCTCACTGGAAAAACAATGGTCCAGGAAGCTAGATAAGCGGTGGCTGGGACCCTATAGGATCGTGCGGTGTGGCGAGTTTGGGGCCTACCAAATTGAAGAGCTGGATGGGGCAGGGTGGCAGGACTGGGTATCAGGGACAAGGCTGAAGAAGTTCGTGGCCAGGGAATAGGTAAGGGACCATGAAACCTCGTTAGGAACAGAGTATTGCCTAGGTATTACCCATGTCAGGGGAGTAGGTAGGTAGGTGATTGGGGTGGATGGGTGTGGAGTGTATGTGGGATTTCCCCGAGCCAATGGGCTCAGCTGCTGACCCTGCTGTGTGCCTGTTTGCTGTCTCTCGCCTGTTGTGCAGGTCTGACTTTTCGAAGGCAGTCATGCAGAGGGGCGGAAGGGACGCACGGCCACGGCAGGGACCCCAGGGAGCAGCGGGGAGAGACGAGCGGCACGAGCCGCCTAGGAGGGAGCCTACGCCGGAGTTCGATGACGACAACATTGAGCTCTTCTTGGATGTATATCGGGATTATGCGGCACAAAGAGGATGGTCAATGGCGGAGAGGATTCACCACTTGAGGGGTATAGGGCGGTTCGAGGAGCCTGACGCTCAGATATGTGAGAAGACCCTGACTTGGCCGGATGTGGAGGCCGGAATGCAGAGGTTGAGAGCTTCCCCTAGAGGGCGCGATGGCATGCCCATTCGATTGGAGGAGGGGAACGCGGAGGAGTTCAGTCCCGTATATGAGCACTACATGTTGAGTCAGGGGATTGCGCGGGAGGCGTGGGTGCAGGCCCTACTTATCTGGACGAGGGGGGCAGAGAGGCCGGTGGCCAAACAGATTCGGGAGAGGGCTCGAGATTGGGAGGACTGCCATGCTCAGCTCAGGAGGGCGTTCGGACGGCCACAGCACGAGAGGCAGGAGCCCAGGGTTGAGAGGTGACGGCGAAGCAAGAGGCCAAGGGATCCAGCACCGAGAGAGATGGGGCTGGCCAGAGAAAGGAGGAAGGGTCCAGCACAGCAGGAGGGTGAGCCCGCAGGGCCCGCATTGGCAGAGGAGTCGTTCCCTGCTTGTGGCCTCCGGGCAGTTGAGTTTCGGCGGATTACGAGCGAGGAGCTGAGACCGCCCTCACCGCTGCCATCAGGGCAGGAGCTGGACATACCAGGAGAGACGCCATTTCGGAGCTTAGCGGCTCATCTTGATGTATCTCGATGGGAGGCCTCACAGTTGGGGGAGGGCTCACTCAAGCCGACGCGCTATGTGCCGTTGGAGGAACCTTTGGACCCCGAGACGGAGACGGACATGCAAGACCAAGAGGAGCCGCAGGATCCTTAGATGGCTGCCGAGCAGCCGGATTCGGTACGGCCTCAGGGCGGGGAGGTGATCACGGTCGGAGACGATACCCCTCCATGATCCCCAGTTCCAGAGCCAGCACAGCATTCATGGCCAGAGGGGATTCCTGAGCCAGGCAGCGAGGAGATTCCGGAGTCTCCCCCTGAGGCCACCGCTATGCCTGAGCAGGAGGCAGAGGCGGAGGGTCAGGGAGCGTATGAGAGAGCGAGGGTGGAGGTACCCCTTGACTTGCCATCGACCACGCACGTGACCAAGAGCCCAGTTATCGAGGAGCCTGTTCCAGCGGAGTTACCGCCAACAGTGCCATGCACGAGCGAGGGGATGGGGGCTGAGGCGTCGACTCCGGAAGGCCAGGGGCCACGAGTGAGAAGAACCCCAAGAGAGACCCGCGAAGAGAAGTTCGCCCGAGTGTGGGTCCGTCTGGATGAGATACACGCGAGGCAGGCTGAGATGGAGGCAGCAGGAATAGAGCCGACACCGCCGGTCGAGCCCAAGACGAGTGAGCAGAGGATCGACGAATTGTGGGCTAGGTATAAAAGCCAGAGGGATGCAGGCCGCCAAAGGTCACGAGAGACGGGACAGGCGGACGAGGGGGCGGGTGAGCTGAGAGAGGTGGGGGACTTGGGGTTCTCCGCGACCAGGCAGGCGATTGAGCGCATGGATCGGAGGGTATGAGAGACGACAGTTACATCCTTCYAGTGGTATAATCTACTCAGCAATGAGCTCCGGGTCAAAGAGTTGGAGGTGTAGCACCTGACTACTCAGCTTGCCGAGGAGAGGGCGAGGAGCCAGTCCAGAGAGGTTGAGTGGGAGAGGAGATTTGGGGAGATGGCGGCCGCTGTGGATAGGCTCTCGGCAGCCTGGGAGGCTAGCCAGAGACGGGACGAGCCGGTGCCGATGGCCAAGGCCGAGGGATGCAGGCTTCGCCGAGTCAGGGAGCAGTGGTGGAGGTCTCTCGACAGGCCGAGCCAATGGAGGAGGTGCCCTTGGACGCAGCCGAAGAGGAGGGTGGCGCACAGGAGTCGCTTATGGTTATGTCCACGGAGAGAAGAGGTTCGCATTTGCATGAGCTGGCGGCGGCCATGGGGATAGGCACGCCACAGGAGGGGTCTCAGAGACTCGACGCTCCAGAGCATGCCCCGAGGTTGGGAGAGTTGAGGGTGGAGCTAGGCTCATGGGCCACGGGGACGGACTCAGGAGAGCCTGACTCGCGACAGCAGCAACAGCGGGAGGTCATGAGTGAGCCCACCACCATGGGGGGCTCTCAGCCGTCAGGAGCATGTGGGGATGAGGTAGTGGTGGTGGCATGAGTTGGATACGTCAGGCTCTAAACCAGTGAGCATAGCCGTACGAGGGGGTGAGGTGTTGAGGCTATGGAGCCCGGACCCCAGGGCCATATGGAACTGCCCTCGTGTCATGAGGTGACTACTGAGACCATGGGGACGCCTTCGGCATCGAGTTCGCAGGGGAGAAAGAAGAAGACTGCCAGGTGGCATGATACCTCCTGTTTTTGGTACAAGGAGGAAGGACATAGAGTCGTGGACTGCCCAGAACTGCTCGAGGATAAGGCCGAGGGGCGAGTTGCGGAGTTCAACGACAAGTTCTATGACAGGCAGGGCAGGATAGTAGAGCGAGCTCCAGATGGGGGCAGGGCTCAGTTGTATAGGCAGAACCAGGAGGAGTTGTGTAAGTAGGGCCTGGTCAGTCTATGTGTCAGTAGGGACAGAGCGATTGGCACACAGGAGGGCGGGTTGGAGGTGTACAGATGTTTAGTTGGCTGAGGGGCCCCTGGATGTGTGCATGCTTTAGAGGTGGTAGGATGAGTCCCTGCCTGCTTGCACACATATAATTGATTGAGGTTTCTTTTAGTTTTTTCTTTCGTAGGCTACGACTTAGAGCATGGGGGTCGGCCGTAGGACACATGGGGCTATTCAGTCCACTTTTGATTTCGCAGTGTGGAGACTACTTGAGTTTGAGAGAGACCTGGGTATGAGTTTTCCCTAGTTAGGTGAGACAGAGGGTTGGGCACCCGTTAGATTTTGAGTAGATGTTGTGTCCCCGAGCATGTTCCGCCGGTGTGCAGTGGGGTCGGGAGCCATACTCAGATGGACAGAGTTTGAGTTGAATGTTTGTGTTTGAGTCTTGAGGGAGGCATTCTACTCCCCGAGTGTATCATGAGCGGAGATTCTATGAGATTTGTCTTATGACGACCACTATCACTCTCACATGTGTGGCTTCATTCTGATGTATGATTGGGTTTGTGTGAGAGGTATACAGTTTACATTTCATGGGCATGATTGTGTGAACTGTAAAGCTGTTTACCCTCCGGTATACTCGTGCGATCTGCTTGCAAGCGGACGAGAGGGCAGAGTATAAGGAGGGGGAGTGCAGCCTGTTTGTGAAAAATCGTGAGAATCCTACGGGATTGATAGATTTAGAAACTTGCATGCTCGGTCATACTAAACACCGTTGTCTAAATTATACGGGGGCCCAGAAGATGGTCCCTCAGTTTGAGTTTGTTTGGTGATTAAGACCCCCCTTCATGGTTCTGGGAGGTGGGATTTGTATTGCTATCAAAGCCCTTTCATGGTTGGAAGAGGTCGTGTGGAGAGTCATCCCATACAAAAAGGGGATAGTCGTGAAATCTTTTGTGAGAGGCACCCTTTACCAAGTAAGGGTAGGTAAAAATTGAATGGTATAGGAAGCATTATTTGCGTTGATAAAGCCTGACGAGAGGGAACCATGTTTGTTTGAGATGTTTGAAAAGGGCGGATGCCTCAGGATGGACGACTGTTGACTCTGGTCAAGTCAGGAGCCGCGGCCTTGTGGATCCGGCGGGGAGACTGTTTGTGATTGAGCGAAGGATGCCGTGCCTATTTCAGGAGGGCCGGTAAATGCCTTCTGACCCCTGCGTAGTCCCGCAGCGGCCTGTGAATTGTTTGTGAGGCCCCGCCCGACCACCTGTGCTAATTATGAGGCATACTTAAAGGAATACCAAGCTAACGATAAAGCTTAGTGCCACTTGGGCGCAACCCCTGGTGGATGGCTGCTGACCGGCACAACCTGGCTGCAGGCCCGCGCGGTGAGAGTTTAAGGGGAGTTGCCCGCCCTAGAGAAATTACCAAGCGGGAAAAGAGTCGAGTCTGTTAGAAAATCCTGATTAATTGATTATCAGGAGAAACGTCTATCGTTGTATAACCAAAAGGAGGATACCGCCGCTGATGTAACAATGCGGTGGGCCGTAGACCTGGCCCGATTGACCAGGCTATGATGGGCTCAGATGGAGACCTGATGTTTTTGTACTAGACTGAGGAACAGGCCGAGAGAGGCTATAAACTATATGTATGTGTTTTGTTTGATGGTAAGAAAATTGCTAAAAGAAGGCAAGAATGCCTTCACATGTCCCATCTAAAGCCCGCGTCCCTAGTTATGGCTCTATCTATGAGAAAGAGGCTAACTGGGACACCTAACAAGAGGCCGGCAGTTGTCTAGGACAGAAGGGGAAGATGATGGTTTGAGGGTCTTTGGAACTTATGCTGTAGTATTGATGCGTAGTACACCGGCGTCCTGGTGTCAGGACAATAGAGACCCAGGTTGAAACCCTGGTAGCATATAGTTGTGTTGGCACGGTTTGATGGAGGCCTCAACCCCGAGTCTGTCGGCTAATCGGATTGGTTCTAATCTCGTCAACATTTGGAATGTGAGGGGATCTATAGCCTTTTGATTTGGCGACGCGACGGGGACGTCGCTTAATATGGTCCGGTAAGCTGTCGGCGCGAATACCCTTACAAGGGTATCCGCCCTGGGTTTGTGCAAGTGACAGGAAGGCTCGGTTAGCCTGAACTTATAGTGCCCGTGCGGAAAAAAGCGATGGTCGCCCGCACGCGGGCAAAGGTCTGCCTTGTCTTGGTAGAGAGTACGTGGGCGCGTAACTTTAAGGCGCGCGTGTGATTTTTCTGATTAAGAAGGCGGCCGGGGTAGCCGACCGACTCAGATCGTGGTACGGCCCGTACCAGGCCATGGGATTGGTTAGGGGTCGAAGGTCCGTTTTTTTTTTGTCGGCGCGCTGTTGCACCTTTTTCCAGCCGAGCCACTTCGGGCGACCGGAAAGCCAACAGACTGTCACGCATGATTTTTCATGTGATTACAATAAATAAATAAATTAATTACTGCAAATCCTTTCCTGTTGTGTGCGTCGGGCTTCGAGCGAGACCCTTCAATTGCGGTCTTCACCGGTCCCCGGTCTTAGGAATCTTTTATTTTGATTCGGAACAACAGAGAATTATGCAAATAATAATCATAAAATTATGGGGTGCTATGCCTGCATCAATTATGTCAATCTGATTTTGAGAACTGTGATAAAACATCCATGAAGGCAATCATCAAGCAAGAATAATGCAGAAAATAAAACTGACTAACCCGAGCAAAGACAGGGGCAATTGAATGAGGGAAGAATGAAAACTCATAATAATATCAGAAAGTACACATAAACAAGCGTGGTCAGCACCTCTCAAGAGTCCTCACTCATTCCTCTAGTCAGTCTCTTTCAATTTCTTTTCACTGATCTCCTCTGGTGCCGAGACCCACGCCCACGTACAATCTGAGACTGAGGCTTCGTGACGAAATGCCACCTGTAGCCAGCAAGCTCTGAGCATGATCATCCGAGGCACATGACATGGTAGTTAACCATGAAGCAAAACTCCTCCCACAAAGTAGGCAATCCATCCACTGAAAAGACTCCTCGTCTGAGGTAAGGATACTCAGTAGGGTCAGTTAATGCCTCAATGTCGATCACAGCCGGAGAGATGTACCTCTTTGCCAATCCAATCACATCCAACCAGCTCGTGCCATCTGTGAGAAGTGAAAGGACTGGAGGCCTAGGATAATCAGTGTAAAGCATCGGCCCGAAGCCGCGAATCAACGTAGTGCCACCCTCATCGAGCTCCCTCTCTCTCTGCTCAAGGTATTCAGTGGCAGAGAGTCAGACTGGATCAAAAAGCTCATGAGTCTCCTTGCCTTTCTTTAGATAAGGCCTCAGATCGTGGATAGTGCCATCAACAAAACTGGTCTCGACAATGAAGATTGACAGATCTCCCTGTCTGAAACCAATGGCACTAACATACCGATAATGGAATGCCTCCTTGCATGAGATCCGATTGAGGCTGGCCAGTACTGACTCACTGACCGGAGCAGACTGAACTGTGCTCATGAGTACTCTTGCCCGTACAAGCTGACCAGACAATCCCCGAGAACATGTTACCAAACCGATTGCAAAAACTGATTGCTGAAAACTGATTGCTGATCAGATGATTACCGAATGTCCAGATAAGTTCTCGCTCAGACAAAACACTCACTGATGGCGGCCTACAGTCCTCCTTGCTTCTTCGATAGTACCTACTGAAGTTATGGTGGCACACAGTCTGCCGCTCTTATCATGCAAGTAGTATGTGCATTCGATTTTTGTATGATTTCTCACGAGAGTCAGTGCATGTTCCATCATCGTAGTAGTCTGCTGGTTGTACACCTCGACTCCATTTTTCCTCCAAGTCTCCGCAGTGCTCTGATCTAGTGAGCAGGAAACTCTAACTGCGTTGCTACTGTCCATAGCCTCGCTGATCTCTCGCTACAACTCAAAACGGATAACTCATAAATGATCCAGGTATGTACAAACTGTTATGGTTGATTGCTGTTTAGAGCAATTGTTCCTGATTGTTGCTCTCCGGTTTGTTGCTCTTCGAATTAACTGTCTCGTTGATTGGATTTTGAGTTAAATAGCTGCTGAACCACCATTAAAAACCGTCTTGATTGACTGTTTTGCTGGTTAAATGCCGACTAAATCTTTGATTGTTTTGCTGACTAATTGCTGTTTTCCAAATGCTGACTCCGAATGCTAGTTCTGAATACTGATTGCGGATACTGATTCGGAATGCTGGTTTTGAATACTAATTCCGGATACTGATTCCGAATGTTGTTCAAAAGAAACTGATTAACTGTTAATCAGAAAGTTAAATGAGTGTTGATATAGATTTGACTAGCCAAGGGAAGTGAGCGTGACTGAGAAGCGCATGAACATTGTCTTGTATTCGTTACAAGTTCCGAGTACTGCCTGAGTACTGAATTCCGTTCTGAGCAGTTTCGAGAGTTGCCCTGCCTTCTGCTCTGAATACTGAATTCCGCTATGAGCAGTTTGCGGTACTGCACTACGTACTGTCCAAGTTTCATATGAGTTTCACATGAGCTTCACTTGAGTTTCATCTGAGTTTCATCTGAGCCGAAAGGCCACTGAGGTTTGATCACGCAGCGGGGGAGCATTAGTAAGTAGAAATAGATTATTAATAA